ATGCTATTCTACCGAATCGAATATGAAAAAACGAGCACCTCATCTTCGCTGTCACTTCCAGCCATAATATCAGTGCGACTAGATTACATATACGATGTTATTTGATGCGTTAAAATAACGACAAAAACAGAAACAATACATTTCGCCGACAGACAGACAAAGCAGACAGCTGTCTTGTTTTGCACTCACTAAGTCTTTCTGCCGCAGAGTGAAAAAACAGGCTTAGGAGCGAAGGAAAGGCAAATAGAAAGAAGGCAATTTTTCTTGAACAAAATAATTTCGTAACATTTGATAAGACATTTTTAAGGCCAAGTAAAAAATTAAGTTAAAAGTAAAGAAAAAGTAAATCTCAACTATATAAAATAATAAAAAATGGGCTTAAGTAAGGTAAAAAAGAGGAAAAAGAGAAGTGCGAAAATCCTAACCATGAACAATGTGTCAAATATTGGAGAAATCCATGTGTCCTACCACCTAATAATGAAGGCTTTGATGTGCTGAGGTGTTGAAAATACGAAACCTAATATAAATGAAAAAGAGTAACAAACTAAGAGGGGTGCTTTGTTTCAGTAAATATTTGTTTCTTAACAGAGGAAACTACTAAAAAAAAAAAAAAAAAAAAAAAAAAACGCTTATCAGGAGTGTGGCACTTTCAGAACTCTTTAAGTGTCCTTGAGCTAGTTGAAAGCCTCAAAAAGCCATGGGAAAAGCCAAATTTAAGAAAAAAGAAATGGGGTTCCAGTGTGATAACAATTTACAACCAATTAAGAAACTAACTTTAAGTTAAGACAAGAAAGTAAAAAAACATTTTCTTCTTTCACTGGTGCAAACATAAAAATACTTGTTCTATGGCGATCTACCTCCAACGTGCTAATAATTACTTTCGAATTTGCTGTGAAGTAACAGAGGTGCTTATAAATGAAGAATAGTCACTAAAATGGCAAAAGTTCCAGCACAAAATACCTCGGTCACGTAGCGCTTCTCTTATGAACGAAACATGCAAGGCGAGCTGTCGAACTGGTGAGCAGGGAAATAAAAATAAAAAAAAAAAAATAAAAAAAAGGAAGGAGTCCAAACATGGACTACAAAGCAAAATGCTTGCTTCTACAATGAGACACAAAAGCACCGAAGAAACACAATATCAAACAAAAGTATATTTTGATATATTTTTAGAACACAGGAGAAAAAAAAAAGAGAGAGAGAGAGAGAGAGAGATCCACACACAGATGCGTTCAAAGTAAATAGGAATAAGTTAGAACACACTGTGAAGCTTCAGATAAATATTTGTAGTAAATCACCAAATGTTACGAAATAATCACACAGTCCTAAATAATGGAATCTTTATAACAACAAAGATTCCTGAGAGTTACAGTAAGAGAAATAAATTTTGCACGGTATGAACAAGAAAGCCAGCTTAAATACGTAAGACTTCAACAATCATTCAGGAGGGAAAATTAGTCTTGGCAATAAATCACAAATGTACAAGTTAAGCTTTAGAAACGGTTCTACGGAGCAAACATTCATTCCTGCGAAGGGGATAAAAGTTATAATCTATGAATTGAAATCTTTATGCCGAAAATAAATTATAACCAAAAGGAAAAATCGCTCCACGTTCGTTTGCATTCCAAATTTCAAGAAGCAAAATATTCTCCCTTTTCATCTTTTGTAGCATATACTGAGGGTCAATGAACTACAGTCTCTACCAAGAAAAAAGCCATTCTTCCCACTTAAGACGAAAGGGTGAGGAGGAAATATAAACAATCTCCGACAGTGTCGGTATGGACTTTATGCAGAAAGGAACTGTATGCATATAGAAAGTTAAAAAATCGTGTTAAGATCATAAATGCTGAGCAGTAAAAACTAATATAAATGAAGAAGAGGAAAGGAAAACATCCTACCTTGAACATGGGATTTCAGTTTATATCCGTAAAGAAATATTTTAAATTCCTGGAGGGAATAAAGACGTAAACAAAAGATTATCTTTTTCTGTAACTAATGAAGAACAATAATGCTTGTCAGTGTTGATAAAATAATTAAGTAAATAAATATAAAACTCAAGACTCTCTTAACTTCGGAATAAAAACATTAGACAAACTGAGGAACAAGTTCAGTACATTTCGTCGGAGCAGAAGGTGTACTATAAGCCATTATAGTTACAGTTCATGCTGTTATAAATACGACGAAACCATGATTCAAGAATAAAGAGCGCCTTCGCGCATCCTTCAAACCAATTGTAATGACGACGCTGTAGCTTCTTTAGAAGTGAAAGCTTATCTTAATCAAAATATAAAGGCGAACTTCATTACAATATTAAAATTACGCTCCATTTCATGATAAATTGCTTTAGGTATTATTTAAAATATTTAAGTTTTTTCTCTTCTTTCTTTAAACAAATATTTTCAACCATAAAAGCAAAAATATTAAATTTTTCGAGTGATAAAAGCTTGGCATATGAAAATAAATAAATACATAAATAAATAAATAAAAATAAAATAAAAAAGATAAGTAAAACACATCAGATTTATTTAAAAATTACGCTAAGTTTTGAAGCCTTGCAACACATTCCATACCAAGAATAATGATAAAGAAGAATTCTACTAACAATGAATACAAATTTCTATTTGAAATCTTCAAATTGAATTTTATTTCTATGTTGGAAATTAACCAAAATTGTAATCCAGAAAATGCTTTAGCACAATACAAGCCTTTAATAAAATTACCTGCTTCCTTAAAATAGAAATAGAACGAGCTTAATCCAAAGCATTTTAGATGTACAGGAGGAGAAATCTGAATTTTTGGGTCTCATAACATACTTACATGAAAGAACAAAGGTAATGTACTAAGAAGAGTATATAAAAGAAAATTGATAAGCGAAGCCGTGCAAAAATTTTGAAACACATATAAATAAATTACATGAAAAAATACAACCTTTTTATTCAAAAAGAATAACGATAGTCAGTGTTAAAACCATAACATTTCATCAAGCAAATAAAAGCGCTCTATATCCTTGATATAAATAAAAAATATCAATGAGCCGGTAAGCTTATGATTAATATCTTTACTCTGAATTTAAAACATAAACGTTAACATATGATTTGGGAAACAAGACTGATCATTGAGATTGTAAATGAGGAAAATTTGTCTGTAACAGAATTATTCATTGTTGAAGTGATTTAACGAAGTTAAGAGTTTTCTAAGTCCAAACGAAGAAAATCTAAAAGAATGGATTTAGAAAGATTAACAATGACTAAAGCATACCTTTTTCTTTTGATTACATCAATGCATAACGGATGCACGGATTCACGGATAGCTACTAAAAGAGGTGGAAGTAGGAAGTAAAGAAAAATTTAGGTAAAAGATCACAGAACCTACAGTGTGTAGTAGATAAATGTGTAGCAATATGGGTTCTGATTTAATAATCTGTATGGGTTAGAAATATGGATCTGATTTAATGACATCAATAGCTCGATACAGTATTGTTATGTAATATAATGTATGTCGTAGCACTTCCACCAGCTTGTCTATGTATGACTTCTAGCAGCAAGAATCAGTCAATACGAATTCTGTATCATCTCAGGATAGGAAACCCCAGTAACAAGTGAACTTTACTTAGACAAACAATACCTCGCAATTAAAGTTAAAAATTTTAATTACAATCCGCCGTGCATATTTCTTAACAAGCATACACCTCCGCATAAGTATCTTCCATATTTTCGAAATAATATCAGTACTTCTTTCCTTTCACACACACACACACACAAAAAAAAAAAAAAAAAAAAAAAAAAAAAAAAGCCTTTTCAGCTGTTTTTGTTTTATGAAGCGTTTTTACTAGGGAGGGAGTAAGAGAAAAACGTGAGAGAAAGAAAGAAAGAGGGAATAATCTCCAAGCAGAAAGGAAAAAGAAATCGGATTCCATTTTTGTAATCTGATCAAAAAATATACTATGTAACAAAACCATGTTGACCAATATAAAGTGTCACGGAAATAACTCAGTCTAAATTGTCTTTATGGTGTTTAAAAATCAAGTACTTAATCCGTATGTTGTATGTTTAAGAATTATAAATTAGTTTTCATTATTTTTCTTTTTGCTTACTAGTACCAATAATTTCTCAATCATAGCGTTCTTATAAGGATATAAAGTACTTTACCATTTAACCAATTTTGCTTGATTTCAGAGTCGTAAAATTACTTACTTTGACAGCATGTCAAAGACATAAAAAGTACTTATAATAAGCTCTCGATATATTAAGGGGAATTTTAATTTCCCCTTAATTTTGTTATAGTCATTAGGTTTTTCCCAAGGAGATGTGAAAACTGTGCAGTGCCCTTCACGGGGTTTTAAGACCAAACCCCCCCATTTACTAGCCGGACATGCTATCACGAAGGTGGACATGCTATCACGAAGGTGGTACATCACGAAGGCACGTGGAAAGGAGGGAGAAAAATACCTTATATGCTCCCTCTTTTAAGGGCCGTTCACACTAGGTTTTATCTGAGCTCCCGGAGTCAGTTCCATGAGTCGACTATCTCCACTATATGATGAAGTTTAGATTTTTCAGCTAGCTCTGTTATGGGACAAATTGGTTTGGGAACTGCGTCGACTGTGCCAGATGTCTCCGTTAGCTTATAAATCCCAGTGTGAACGGCTCTTAAAGGGAAACTGGGAATGGGGGGACCTAAATTCAAAATCCTGGTGAGGACGAATCAACGTCCACCAACTTTTAGCTCTGTCTCCACTTGCACAGCCATTAGATTTTATTTTATTATTATTATTATTATTATTTTTTTTGAGAGACAACGCTTTTTACTGTAGATATGAGAACCTGCTAAGCTTATCCAGTCTTCCATTGGGTAATGAACACAAAATAAGTTAACAGCATTAAATGATTTTATTACTGAGTAGCTGGTTAAGTCAAATAAACACGTAAATTAGTATTAATAAAATAATGACGTTGTTAGCAGTATAAAAACTATTAAAACCATGTCTACTAAAATTTACTTACATAGTTATTATTCAGATTGATCTTTTCAGCCTTTTCCTTTTTGCTTTCACTTTTAGACAATTTTGACAGCTTAACCCTGGAAAAAAAAAGAAAATTATCACAATTTAAATAAAACTCATTTCGTAAGATATTTGCATAATCAATAATTGATCGTAATCAGGGCCCGTGCTAGACATTTTGCTGCTAGCGCAATCTGTGCGCGTCTTAAATTCTGCTTTTTGGTGCCTCCCAAAATTCTAAAAGTTTTACCGCCTCTTAATTCCTCCCCTAAATTTAAAAAAAAAATTGCCATTCCCAAATTTTGTTTCTCGGTTTTTTTCCTAAATTAAAAAAAAAATGCCGCTTCTAAGTTTTATCACCAGGTGCAGCCGCATCAGTTGTACCGGCTCTGGCGCCAGCCTTGGCCGTATTGCAGAGGAAATACACAAATTGATCGTCACACATTTTCTACAAGGATTGTAAGAAAATCTAAAGGACGGCACTCATGACAGTTTCAGAATTTTGGTGTTCTAAAAATTACAAATTTCTAAGCAAAATATCAAAGGAAGAAAGTCGAAATTTCAAATAATTTTTTATTCACTTTTAGTACTGTCCTCTTTCTCTATAGAAATATAAAACTACATTTATATTACTGATTTATAAAAAAGGATTGTTTTTAGCACTATTGGATAAAAGATTCAAACCTTTATATTAACGCTTGATTATTCTAAAATTGATCAATAATTTTGACACGTCTTATAAATCCTTCGAAATTTATGGACTGGAATTTTGAAAGGAGAAAATGTTGGCTTTTCGGTAAAATTTTTACTTTTTCCATTTTTTTCATCTCTGCATACGGTATGCAATGCATCATCTGACGATCTGGAAATTTATTGAAAAATTGAAAAAATTATGCAAGAACCTGTACGTTAAAAACACCTCTGTAAAAAAAAAAAAAAAAAAAAAAAAAAAATGATTTCTGTTTCTTTTTTGAAGGATATAATTTGATCTAATTATTATATTAAACAAGCAATAAAGAAAAGAATAAAGTATTTCTGTGCTAGCAGTATCCACGTGATACAATCTAGAAACTGATTAAAAATTTTCTTGCTTTAAAGGGATATAAATGCTTATAAAATAGATTAAATATTACCTATAGAAGAAAGAAAATGTATTTAACTGGCGAAAGGGCGGGACCGAATTGTCGGTAGAGAACTTTCCAAGGGAACTTGCTCGTATAAACATTACACAGGGGGAAGTCACGAAAACGCCCATGCATCCAGTCCGTTCGCTTAGAATCGAGCCCAGATCAGAACTAACAGGCTCTGCGATTTTAGTGTTCAGCCTTGGTGGGGCCGGGTACTAAAGTGTCCAGACTGAAAGGCTCTACTTCAAATAATTTATAGCTCAGATTAAATGCCATGTTAGTAATAACTGCTATCTACTTTTATTAATAAACTTAGCAAAGACTAGAAAAACAGTTTGACAAATAAAATTTCCAGAAATCTTTTCGAACATCAAGATATGATATCTTAACAGTTACACGTTGAAAACATTTAGATTGTCTGAAATAAATTTGTTACGTATCGTCTTAACCTGAGAGCATCTCTTTCAGGTCCACGAATTTTATCATAGCGAAGAGGAAGAGCTCTTGGTGTTAGAGGACAAACTCTTGAACGGTAGTACAACTGTATTCACTTCTGTTCTAGTATCGATAGAGACCCCGCGGAGGACAGAATCCAATGATTTTCTGTCTCTTTTCTCTAATTAGTTACATTCTGTGGGAACTTTGTCTATACGGTATTTAATAGACTCCCGCCCCTTCCATGCTTCAAAGATACTACACATGTAAAAGCATCCATGATGCCTCCACATGGATTCACGTCCGGGGCGGGTGGCAGAGCAGCCAGTAACGCTAACTAATATATAGATTAGGACAATGATAAATGCGATGACAGTAACCGAATGTATAGGATTTCCTAGCTAATCACCATACTGATTAGAACAGCGTCAGAAATTTTAAATATATAAGTTAAGCTCAATAAGAAAAAAGTCGTTTCAGTTATGACTTAAAAAGTAATATTTATCTGCACATAATAATTCATATAAAAAGAGATAATTACGAAAATTCCACAAAATCAATCAAAATAAGAAGGCAACACAATTTAGATATTATAAAGAAATAAAGAGAAAGCGAATAATTTATTTAAGGCAAAGTATCAAAGGGATGTTTGTCTCTTAGTTTTAACAGACAACACATCAAGGAAAGGAAAAAGGCAAAAATTTCATTTTTTATAATTTTTGAGAATAACTTTTTTTTATGAAACTAGGAATAAATGAGCCATTTAACTGATGTTCCTTAATTAGAAGCTGTTAATAATAGCCTTTAGAAAAATGTGGCTTGTTTTAGTCATATAAAACACTATTTCAGTCAATGATTTGAGAACAAGGAAGAAAAACCTGAGAAATATCCCTTTCGCATTTCGGGGATGGAGACAAAATATCGACACTAAATGCATTTCTCTTAATTGCCTGAGCCGTAATCGAGAAGATCGTGTGTTGTAAAGCATGTTAAGACAAACTAACACATGTGAAAAATTCCCATGCTGCCGATATGTTCTACACAACATTGTCTGATAACTGCTGACAGCACACAGCGTTAAATAATCATTAAGTTTTCAAAGAATTTTTTTGTAGCTCTTCTTCTCTAGAAGAATTCTGAAAATTAGAAATAGTATTACTTCACAGCAGACTTACTATCTAACATTAGTATTCAAATTAAATTAATGCTTTTAAATGTGTTTCGGGATATTATACGCATTTGGACTGTAATTAATGGTTTTAGTTCACGTAAAATCTTGTTTTTAAGAGTCTATATAAGTTGCGAAGTCATCATGAAATCCAGTGAAATACTCAGGGGCCTTTAAGAATTAGATTAAAAAATGAAACCTTCAAAAGTTTTTAGTATTGTTGAAGAGAAGAGTATTTGATAAGTAAAATAAAAATTAAATTATCTCTCACGCTTTTAACCGATAGTTTCTATTAGCCACGAGACAGTCCGAGGGAATACAAGCAACGGAAATATATTAAAACAATGTATTGATACACAAATAGATACTAAGACAAAAACGTACACCTAATTTAAAACGGAAAACATTGTGTAATAAAATATTATTATTTGGTCATTGTTTTTAGAATCGTATAATATAAAATAGTGGTTTTGTATTGGAATGGACGTGTCACAGGTGGTGTCGAGCCGAGATGTTAGTTATCTAAAAGTTAAAAGTTATTTAAGTGCAGCTAAGCCTAATTTTTTTTTACCATAGCAGCCACATTTATTTATATTTGAAAATTAGCAAAATAGTGAATTAATTCTTTCTGAACCTTCAGTGTCCTTTTGCCGAGCGATACCAAAAGGAAATTTTTAGTTTTGTGCACCGAAAAATCTACCTTCTTGTCCTCGGGTCGAATTGCTTGTTTTTGAGTACATATAAAATGTAATTTTAATTGTAAAATTTTTTTAAAAATTGTTTTAACTGTATTTGGTGTTTTATGTTTTTTTTTTTTTTTTTTTATATCTTTCAGTTTTTAATATAGATATTTTGAGATTTTATGCATTTTTGCTTTGCCTCGAAGTGACAGCTGAATTAATTGAACGAGAAATATCCCTCTCATAAAATTCGAGGAAATAAGTTTAAATGAAATGCAGGAAAAAATGCGTATATTTAATATTCCGCACAAGGATGCCATGTGGTGTACTCATCAGCTTTTTTCAAGTTAATTAAAAGCGAATAAAAAACTTAGATTTTAATACTGACAGTAAAAATTTTAAATTGTTTATACAAATTTTCGGCATTACAGAAAGCAAGAAAATTCAATAAAAATTTAAGAAAAATTGTGAGATAGTAAAAGAAACGCAAAATGAAAATACGTGCTCATCCTGTTCAACAAGTAGCTGCTTAAATTTTAGTCTAACATGGGAACGTAGTACATCTTCTGCATATTTGAAAAGTGAAAAAATATGTTATTCTATAAAAATACTGAGTGCTTTTAATTATATATGTCCTGCATTAAATGCATTTTTTTCAAATCAATCAGATTAAAATGTTAAAAAATAATATTCTTAAGATACGCAACGATTATTGCTTTTAAATAGCTTAGTTTGTTACTTAATAACAGACAAACTGAACATGAATGAATAATATCTTAACTTTTTCCCGAACGGTAATAGACTCGATAGAAAATTGAAATCACGCATTTATACCGCGCAATATCTCGTTTCGAGATTAATAGCCCGTTTGGGCTAATAATAAAATAGTTCGATGCTGAAATATAGATTCAAGGAAATAAAATAGTTCAATAATCGTTCAATAAACTGATTATATTAAATTATTCGGATGATTGAAAATTTACTAAATGCTTTGGTATGTTAGAGCAATGCTAAATAAGATAACTGCCAAATAAGCCTGCGTTATAAACTATAATAGGCAATTTGACATAATATTGTTATTCAGCTTAACTTAGGTGCCTAATTAGAGAAGGTTAGGATTCGAATGCCCATGGAATTTATTATTATGTCCAAAGTTTTAATCACTTGACCAATTTTTTCGGAGTTTAATCATTCAGTATCTAGACCAGTCGTTCTCAATCTCTTTTCCCCATGCACTCCATTCACCATTTTTTTGCTTATTACGTGCTCCGCCCTTGGGCACTACACGGAAAGGGAGGGATGCCCCGTGGAGGTCTTTTTAAGGGAAACTGGCTCGTAATCACGTACACATGGAGAAAACCACGAAACGCCCATGCAGCCAGCCCGTTCGCTGGGACTCGAACCCCGGACCGAACTACCAGTGTTCAGCGGCTTTTACCGCTCGGCCGCTGGTGGGCCTTCATTCATTACTACTAGACGATTATTCCGTCCCCTCCATGTTTACCCAAATTCGAAAAATAGACATTTATTTATTGAAATTTAGACCGCTTTTAATATGGTTTTTAAATTGAAGAAGAAAAGTATAAAAAAGATTGACAAATGTCAAATATTGTATAAAATTAGGTTTATGATCATAACTTAAATCTAAATACTTAACAAGCGAATAA